TTCAGACGAACAACGAACGTTGTCAGTGGCCTGATGGGCCCCTCAAGTCACCACGCCTCGACCAATTCAAGCCTGTAACGGATGCCGAGAGGAGAGTGGTGGAACTTTGGGTTCAGCCCGTAGCCCATTAAAACCCAAAACCCTTTTCTTTTTATTAGTACTTATGTAATGAGTAGTGGGTGATTGGACTACAGACCTAAATATCAGAGCGCTGTAGGGCGCAGTTGTAGTGGTTGCGTAAGCCTGTCAGATTAATCTTGGAAAGCTTTTCTCTTGGGTCGTAGTTTTCGCCTCCTCTTCGCAGACTTGAAAAGGTGACCAGCGAAAAAGAGACTCGGGAAAACCCTGGGTTTAGGGGTCGTACGAGCCCTCGACGGCGAGCTACCTCAGGCCGGTGAAAGTTCTGGGCCTCACCCCAATACTCTTTAAACCTTTAAACCCAACGCGAGGGCGAGAGCGAGGAGTTCCCATATCGCGCTGCATATGGAAGCTAGCTTAAGCCCAAAGCCAACTGCTGAGAGTGTGTCGTACTAGAACTTATCCACAGAGCGCACTGATCCAAGCTCTGATTGTTACAACCCGTGGACTCAGTAAGCCCTCGAATGCAGGTTACTGAGACCGATAGTGTACCTCCTGAAATCAGATATCGTTCAGTTTTGGTCTGTCCTGTGGACATTTTGACTCCGTGCGGAGTGCAATATCGTATTTTGTGGGTGGGACCGCCCACGTACGGAGTTAGCGCCAGTTGTTCTCTTGGGACCAAATTTTTACAGTTGCGTTTGTCAGTCGAGATAGATTCGCATATTCGTCCGCAATTTAATGGAGGTTGAGATTAGTTGGAAGATGAGTACTAGTGTTTCTATTAGATGCAGTTTTGATGGGATGTTATGATTAGCTATCGTGTTATCGGGTGAACGCCGCCTACAGTGAGGTTTATTTTGAGTTTTTGTAGATTTTGCCAGTGTTGATTGTTGATTTTACCGTGTTGATCTCTGAGGACGTACTCAATGCAGTCACTGCGGAGGTGAGAAGAAGAAACCCGCCACGAGATGACAAGGCACAATAGTGTAGTTTCTAGCTATGAACGGATACAGTGCAAAACAAAGAGGTAGTATCTGTCATTATAGATTAGTGAGAGGCACCTTATTGTATGACAATAAGTACATGTATATATGACTGTGTCAGCTTTATATTATGCCGTGGATATCTTTATTAGAACAGCTAGATTGCCCTCTTCTGCGAGTGAAATAAATTTAAGAGATCGATGGATAGTATCGGTATGACTATAACGTGGATATGGTGAAGACACATACCAGATGTGATAGTTCCAGGCATGACTTTAACAAAGTTGCTTTCAACCAGTATTTAGTGTTTTAACAAAATCATTGCATCTGGTGAGCTTAGCCATGAGGGGAGTGTCCTTTTCTACACTTTCATTAGTTGTGACAGGGTAGATCCGGCTATTGGAGCACCAGGTATTTTTACGTTAGGGCATATTGAGAGGCTCCGTCACTAATGAAGAAGTAACTTCTTTCAGATCGTACGTGATTTGGTCATTACTAAGAGACACGGAAGACATGGAGCCAGATTCACGGCTGAAGGTTGATATTGTGTCAATGTTTAGTATTGGACAGGACCTGATCTGGCGTAATATAGTCACGGTAGAAAGTTTGGCGAAGGTGTAGTCCCAAAGTTGACATTCACCCATTCATTTGAATCACAATATATACGGAGATACCAGCTTGACTGAAGCGGTTTTTGCGAGATTGAGTTCTTATGTATGATATATGACCATATAATAATGTCGTCAGCTATTAATAGAGATTATCGAGGTCTTGGATAATCCGATTCGCCCACGTGTTCTGCGGTTGCTGGTCTCCTCTTCAGGGAAACCATCTTTAGAACAGAGGTGGTGGGGGCAAGACCTCTACTAGGATCAATTGACGAAAAAGAGCTGATAATCTTAGTGTCAAGCACTTCAATCGGGGCCATCCTTTCAACGGTCCTCCGGGTGTAGACCCATTCTTTGTTCATATCAATTTATCGTTATGACCCTTTGAGGTGCAGTTCTGATTAGTTATATACCTTGTACACATCATGTTCCGCAGTGATTTTCGAGAGTGATAAAGAAGTTATATTATGTTTCATATCAATCTATTATCATTCAATTCAAATTTTTTAGGGTATTGATAACTTACATTTATACGTTATAATTAAATAAATATATTTGGTTCTTTTTACATACTATTTCTCAGCCTTTTTGAGTTTCTTTTGGATTCTGGACACGATCCATTGTCACCTAAGTTCTCATTATTATTCCCAGGAATTCGTGAGATTTGGATTTGATCACTTAAGTGATACCTTTTCCTCACGTATGAGGTTTATTTTGTTATATGTGATAATAGGCTTAATTTTAGCACAATTTTAAGAGTTGAGAAGGAAGAGGCTCAGAAACACTTCTGAATCTGGTTAGCAGCAGCTTAGGATAAAGACGATTTGCCTTGTATTAGTGGCCTTACTTTTTGCATTGAGATGAATCTATCATTTTATTGATTGTTCGTAACTAATTTCTTGTGTGAGCACCCATGCAGTGGGTGGACCCAGCTTATGTTACTCTCTAGCGCGTGCACGGGCTGAGGGCGATTGGGAGCTGGGTAATGAGCTTCAGAGCCCCTATTTCAGTCTCATTTGGTGGAGCCCAGTTTGCTTTGTGACCTAAAATGGGGTTGGTATTTGGCCTCAGAATAGGTTTTAGGTTTTAGGTTAGTTTTAGGTCATGAGTTGGAGTGGGTTTTTGGGGGAGGGGAAGGGGAATTTTAGGTTATAAGCCATGGTTGGAGTTGGTCTAATGGTCGGAAAAAATAACAAATAGAAATGTGCCAAAGTTTGTGCTACCTGCGTAGCACGTGCATCCGGTTGATCTCTAACGTTGAAAATTAGGGTTTTCTATTGATACTTTGTTGTTTTTGATGGGCCAAAGTTTGTGTGGGCCTCCCAAGTTGTATTGGGTTGTAGCTCACCTAAGATTAGGGTTTCGTATTGTTGCTTTTGCTGGGTCAAAATTTGTGTGGGCTTCCCTAGTTGGCCAGTTGTATTGAGTTGTAGCTCACTTATTGCTTTGGTCTTTTGTTGTTGTACTTTCTATCTGATTCCTCATTTTAATAGGTTTTCTCTTTTCAACAAAAAAAATAAAAGAACTGTGCCAACCTAGAGAGTTTTATTTTTTTATTTTTTGGTGCGATGGCAAGTGCCTTCGCCCATGAGCGGTAGGTCTCGGGTTCGAGACTTGGGAGCAGCCTCTCCATAAATGGGGGTAAGGCTAGCCGACATTCACCTCTCCCAGACCCTGCGTAAAGCGGGAGCCTTGTGCACTGGGTACGACCTTTTTATTTTTTGATCAAATAATATTATCTACATTAAGGGGGAGGGGAAGTGTGCTTAACCTCACAATGAGCTATCAATAGAGTGGTTCAAATTCGTCTTTGACGACAATTGAACCTAAGAGCTCTCACTTACACGTGAAGAGGAATATCACTAGACCGTAGTACTAAGTAGCAACTTAGAGAGTTAGGCACAAATTTAATTGATGGTTGTTGCGCAAGTTTATACCAATATATGTGTAATCTCCTATTTAAAGGGCTCCATATGTATTAAAAATAAATTAGTAAATTTGAGAAGAGAGTGTTTTCTTCTTCAAACATCAAGTATTTGACTTGGTTGAGTTGAGTAAATCCACGATTGGCTGCGTCGACAAGCTTCGTCGTCCCCGATCAAGTGATTCCCAGATTTCAATCCTCATCTTTTCAATACCCTTCTGATCTTTAAATATGCATTAGCTAATGGATTTTATTTGGGACATTCTTATAGGTTATATTTTCTCTTTTCACAGGTTATTTAAGTGCATGCATTAGCTGGATAAGGTTCCGAAAAAATCATGATGCTCAGATCCTAAACTGTGCACTTTATTCCAGGTTACGGATGGAACATTCTTGGAAGAACCTGGTTCTGGTGTTGTAGCAACTATTGAGAACAAAAAGGTTTCTGTTGGGACTTTGGAATTGGTTCAAAGGTAATTACAGGGTATAATGGAATATAATAGTTTGTATCATTGCATATTTGAATGTGAATTTGCTTCTTGTAAAGGTGTAATGCTGATAGGCATTGGCCCTGGACCATTGTTAAGAGAATTTAGAATCCTATTATTGAAAATTTAGATTCATTTAGGACAACATAGAGTGCTGTCTATGATCATGATGAACTCCTTAGGGTATAAATAACAATGTACATGGAGAAGTAATGCTTGACAGATTCGACTTACAGGAGCACTAAAATGAAGTTCTATAAGTTGCACAATTTGTAGAAAACATAAGCAGCTTAGAGAGACTAAGAAGATATAGGGGTACTTCAACAGATGCTTATTTCTTTCTCCAATTTGACTTTGGCTTACAAAAGTGAGCCTTATTTTCTAAAGGTTTCTAGCATCAAAACGTAAAAGAAAATCCTAGAGATTCATTAAAGATATGTAGAATCTTAGAAAACTTTTAGGGCTCATTTGGTGTTAGGGAATTGAAGGTATATTGAAGGCAACCAAGGGCGCATGTTTTTTTAAATTTAGGGATCTCAATTAACAGATTTTTGGTTCATGGACCAATTCTAAATTTTACTTTTGATTGTTTGCCGAACTCTTAAATGACCCCAGAAGATGGATTGACTATTTTGCTTACCATGGAAATTAATTTTGGGAACCAAAGGCTTAGTTGTTTTCATCTTCCAAATAAGATATCTTTTGTTTTTTTTTTCCTTCTTAATATGACAAATAATTTAATCTTGGATCATGTATTGAGGTCCCATTGAAAAACTAAATATATGCAGGCATGGAGTTACCCATTTGAAGAAGTAGAAGCCCATACGAGTCAATCTATTGTATATGTTGGCATTGATACTGCTCTTGCCGGTCTCATTTATTTTGAGGATCAGATAAGGGTAGATGTTGGGCAAGTTGTTAATTTTTATCTAAGCAAGGGATCGATGTATACATGCTATCTGGGGACAAAAGCAATAACGCGGAGTACGTCGCGTCTGCTGTTGGTATTCCGAAAGAGAAGGTAAGGAGTTCTTTTACTTCTTTCTTTGATGGGAAACAAAAATTTTATCAATTTGGAAAAATGTAAAAAATCGTTAAACAACTTCAAGCAGAACACCAAAAGCTTGTCCTCTATCCTTTATTTTAATTTATTTTTTTTAAATGAAACAGATTTTTAATAATATCATAAACAATACAACTTTTGGATAAGGTATCCACAATCTGTATACCTAGCCTATAAATACAAAAACCTCAAGACTTGAAACATAAACTTAATCACAGCTGCTAACACATCCGTCATTATAGAAGAGTGAGAATACTCAATCCCTAAACTCATTTGAAACTGATGCCCAAATAGTTGCCCGGTATCTAACTGGATCCCAGATTTTTTTTTCTTTATCGAATTTAATTGTATAGCCTATGCTGTGGGTTGCAGGTGATATCTGGTGTTAAACCGACGGAAAAGAAGAAGTTCAGAATGGAACTTCAGAAGGATCAGAACGTCGTAGCAATGGTTGGTGATGGAATTAATGATGCTGCAGCATTGGCTTCATCGCATGTTGGAATTGCCATGGGTGGTGGTGTTGGAGCTGCTAGTGAGGTGTCTTCTATTGTGCTATTGGGCAACAGACTTTCACAAGTAATTTTCTTAAAAATACGTAGGATTATTTGCACGAATACCTCCCAGGTTGTTTTTGAAAGCAGAAATAGGTATCAGATTCTGCGGTATTATTTTTGGAAACCAAACTATAGAGGATTACGTGCTGTCGTAGCAAAATTTTCTTTTAGACGTTTACTATCCGCAACTATGAATGAATAATTGAAGAGTGCAGCAGAATTCTTTTCACCATCTATAAAAGATTATTTGAAAAATTTGCATAATGTTGATTGGTGGAGCACAGATGGAAAAAGTAATTATCTTTCTTTTCATATAATAAGCACTGTTGTGTAGGATATTTGATCTTCACAATTTCTTGCAGTTACTTGATGCCTTGGAGCTGAGCAGGCTAACTATGAAGACTGTGAAGCAAAATCCCGATGCCAGCACCTAATCTTACTCTACCTTTGACCTCCCAGCCACTTCGCCCAGCCGATACCCAGTAGCTTGATGTATCAAACCTAGAACATAGTTATTGTAGTTTTTTCTATTTTCGTTCGGACATCTTGTATGTACATTTGTATATATTTTATAATTAAATACTTTTTCTTGGTTTATATATTAATTATTGTTTAGAATTTAATTACAATATTTATTAAAAGTAAATAAAAAATATTTTTGTCAAAAAAAGAAAGGGTTTGCGCGACAAAGAAGTAGGCTACGTTGCGCAAAGCAGTGGCTTTGCGCGATGCATGTCCTTACGTCTCGCAAAACAGGGCAAAGCCATTAAGCCACTTTGCACGATGCACGCAAGTCGCGCAAAGTGGCTTTGCACGACGTAGGACGCGCGTCGCGCAAAGTGGCTTTGCACAACGTAGGAAGTGCGTCGCGCAAAGTATCTTTGCACGACGTAGGCCGTGCATCGTGCAAAGCCACTTTGCGCAACGCATGTTATTTCTTCGTCGCGCAAACCCTATCGTCACTGTCACATCCCTGGCCTGCTCTACCACCGTAGCACGATATTGTCCGATTTGGACTTACCATTCCCTAATGGTTTTTGTTTTTAGGAACTCACAAGCAACTTCCCAGTGGGTCACCCATCCTAGGAGTGCTCTGGCCTCTTTCTCGCTTAACTTCGGAGTTCCTACGGAACCCGAAGCCAGTGAGCTCCCAAAAGGCCTCATGCTAGGTAGGGATGAGAATATACATATAAGGATCACTCCTCTAGGCGATGTGGGATCTTATAATCCACCCCCCTTAAGGGGCGCGACGACCTCGTCGGCACACCACGGCCAGGGTTAGGCTCTGATACCATTCTGTCACATCCCGGACCCGTTCCATCACCGTAGCATGATATTGTCCGCTTTGGGCTTACCATTCTCTCACGATTTTGTTTTTGGGAGCTCATTGGCTTCGGGTTCCGTAGGAACTCCGAAGTTAAGCGAGAAGGAGGTATGGTGGTGGAACGGGCCTGGGATGTGGTTGACTTCGGGCCGGGATGTGACAAATTGGTATTAGAGCTTAACCCTGGCCGTGGTGTGCCGACAAGGCCTTTTGGGAGCTCACTGGCTTTGGGTTCCGTAGGAATTCCGAAGTTAAGCGAGAAGGAGGCCAAAGCACTCCCAGGATGGGTGATCCACTAGGAAGTTCCTCGTGAGTTCCCAAAAACAAAACCGTGAACGAATGGGAAGCCCAAAGCAGACAATATTGTGCTACGGTGGTGGAACGGGCCCGGGATGTGGTGGACCAGGATCGGGATGTGACAATATGGTATCAGAACTTAACCATGTGCTAACGAGGTCGTTGGGCCCCTTAAGAGGGGTGGATTGTAAGATCCCACATCGCCTAGATAAGTGATCCTTATATGTATATTCTCATCCCTACCTAGCACGAGACATTTTGGAAGCTCACTGGCTTCAGGTTCCATTGGAACTCCGAAGTTAAGCGAGTAACGCGCAAGAGCAATCTTATGATGGGTGACCCACTGAGAAGTTCTCGTCTGAGTTCCCTCATCTGCCGCAGAATCACCAAAGATGAAAAAAGCGCTTTGCGCTTATGAGCAAGTCCTCACTAACAAGAAGTAAACTATACAAGTATGGAACATAATAGTACTCCCCATGGTGAATACTAGTCCAGCAGGAAATTAGATTTATCGATTGATAATAGTGATACATATGACCTTTTTTGAATCCCCTTTACATGTATTAAATATGTGCTAAACTCGTAGTATATATAATAATATTATTCTTCACTTATTCTGTGAGACTGACACATGTCCCATTATCTTGTAAACCTTTTTCTTTTAAATAAAACCTTATTATTATTAAGGTGAGGGAAAAAAAATGCAAAATCATTACAATAATTCAAAGGAATGAGAATTTTGAACCTATAACGCATGGGTAAAAAAGGGCATTCAGCGTATAGGAAATGAAATCGCTTTTATGCCCCTTCGCGTTTTGCTTTCTCTTACACTTCTTCTTTCTCCTTCTTCCTCGTTCCCCAGTACAAATCGATTCTTTTTTTTATTTTTTTTATTCCATTTCCAAAAAGAAGGGTAAGAAAAAGCAAAATGAAAAGGGTATAAAAGCCATTTCATTTCCTAAAGTCATAAAGTGTAGTAGTGTTCTAGTGATTGTGATGTCTTTTGATATGGGTCCAAAGTAACTAAAAATTGAACATATTTCAAAAGTTAGAAGTCACTAAAAATTGGACCTATTTCAAAATTTCTCTAGTGATTAATGGTAGCATTGCGCTAAAAAATATTTGTGCCAAACTCGATCTCTAGGCGTTTCCAAAAAAAAAAAAAAAAAAAAAAAAACCCTCAATCCCGGCCACATTTTGATACTTCAGTTTTGTTGTTTTGACTCCCCTAATCCATAAAAAGAAATTGCAGATTTTTTTTTTTTTTGAGAAAAATATGATATTTATTTATTGAAATATCATGGAATAAGTACATCATTGATGACATGGTGCAACAAATAGGTCTTGTGATGTGAGAATTTCTTGACACACAAATTAAATCCTCTTTTTGACAATTGTAGTATAGATGTAAGTAGGGTATCGTTCTAGGCCGGGGATTAGGAGGGATTGCTAATCTATTCTAAATTAATTTAAAAATATTAAATAAGACTCAAGGACACAAAATTAGGCTAAAAACTCTAATAACTCGAAACACACTTAAAATGACTCAAAATAATGAAAACAATTAAATTAAACACTAGGAACTGAAATGGACGGAAATTAAATTAAAAGACTAACAATAAAGAAAACTAACTAAATAATATAATTTAATAATGGATGGGTGTTTGGTTTTGATGAAAAGTAAATTAAACTTAATTAAATTACAGAATTGATAAAAACATAAAATTAAGGTAAAATGATAAATGACGGACTAGCTAGAGGGTTATTCTCCACACATGACACATATGCAACTTAAATTGATTTTCAGTTGTTCTTTCAATAAATTGTGAATCTCAATACTCCAGATTAACCGTGAACAGCACTTTTTTAATCTTCAAGTTTTCCTTAAGTTATTGAATTGGACGGAAAAACGCATACAACAATTCAAAACATTCTTCAAAAGTCCCCTACGTGAAAAGCACAATAGAGATACAATCAAAGATCATTAAACTTTGTGAAAACTATAAGCATTGACGATGCATTCGTAACTATGAAAAGCATGATACTCTTGCCAAGAATTTACTTAACGTGATTGTGACTAGCAACCTTTACTACTTGTGAAAATAAGTTCATAACGATTAGGTGAAATTCACTTATATTCTAGCATCAAATTCATGCATGTAAATTAAGCGTGCACTCTCAACCAACATACACAAATCAGTTTTTATACGAACGGATAAGTAAATTGAAATCACAACTTATGAAATCACAACCGAAGGTAATCAATTCATATTACAGATATAATCATGGCTTTGAATTAACCTCTAGCCAAAATCAGTTTATTTACACATTATTAAAAATAGAAATAAAATAGAAGTTTAGAGAGATTAAACCGAAAGAAAGGATCTGCTGCTTGGACTCTGAACTGCATTTTCATGCTGACCTCCTGTCCTCCTCGCCACTGACTTCCCTTCCTCAAACTGCCCAATGGCAGCACTCTCCTCTCGGTCCTCTTCCTGCGTCTCTGCGAGCTGCCCAAAGGGCAGCTCCCTTCTCTCGCTCCCAGACAGGCCCCCCAGCTTCTCTCCGCAAGGCAGCTTTTATACTCTTCCCGCGCCCAGCTGCAAAGGCAGCTTTCTGTTTTCCTCTCTGGCAGCCTTGCTGCCCTCTGACCTCAGTCCCCTGCGCCAGTCTCTTATTCCCTTTTTCTCGCTGACCCCCCTTCCCAGCTGCCAAAGGCAGCTGTTTTTATTCTCTTTCTTTCCAGCTGCAAAGGCAGCCTTTTTCTTTCTTGTTTCTAAAATTATTCCCCCAGCTGCAAAGCAACTCTCTTTCCTTCGCTGGCCCTGTGCTGCACGTCCTCACTCCTTTCTATCTTCTTTCTATTTTTTATTTTTTTCTTTTCTTTTCTTTATTCCTTTTGTCTTCTTTGTCTGCCAGTCTATTTTCCACATCCTGCTGCTTTTGTTTTTCTTTTCTGTTTATTATTTAAAACTCATTTGTGCTATTTTTATTTTCTTTGCATAACAAATCCTATAAACACAAAAATAACGTACATAGCTCAAAATATAAAGAACTAACTAAGAAAAGACGAGTGAATTCGAAGTAAAAATATATATAAATATGATCCGATCATCTTGATAAAAACTTTGTCAAGACCTTCAACCCAGTCGAAGAAAATTGTATTTGAATTCATATTATTTTACTTTATACTTGACTTATTCTCTACAACTATATCATTTTTAATTAAAATAACAATCTCTCTTTAAACTCAAATTTACAACTTAAACTATCCTCACAAACTCAATTCAATATGTAAATTTATTTTTAAACTTAATTAAAAAATAATTAATCATATTGCTGAACTACATTTTATAATCCTTCATTGTGTCTTCTTCTTAATTCAATTGAGAGTTTTCTATGAAAGCGTATTATCAATTATCATCGAGCTAAATGGCAGAACACATTGAGACCACCTTATTGGGAGTCCTTAACCGCGGTGCTAAGGCCATCTCCAACCGAATGGTCCAGAGGGTTAGAGGGCCGAAAATAGCCCGAAAACTGTCTCCAACCGAGGGCTAGGCCATAGGGATCTGGAATCTGGGAGGGCCCCACGGAATCAAAGAGGGCTAGAGGGCTGGCCTTTTTTTTTTAATGTTTTGTTATTTCTATCGGTTATAGCCGATAGAAATAATATTTTTTACTATATTATTAGTGTTGGTTATAACCGACACCAATAGCAATGTTAATATAATAGCAGTTTGAACAGTGTCGGTTAAAACCGTCACTAATTCTAATTTGAATTCCAATTGTGTCGGTTATAACTGACACTAATTTAAATTCTAATTTGAATTCCGACGGCTAGCCAATCACTAGCCGTTGTATTCAAAAAATTTTTTTTAATGAATTTAAACCTTTTTTTTCCTATAACTTCCTGTAACTTTTTTTCTACAACTTATATTTTACAAAATTTGGTTCAGATTTTTTTTCATATAACTTTTATTT